AAAAAAATTTAAATTTTTTAAAAACACAATTCACAAAAAAAAAAACAATAGAAAGTACATATAAAACAAGATGACATGCTAGATGTGTTTGGATGATTCTAATTTTAGATATTTTTTAGAAGTATTTTTAATTTAAAAAAATATTAAATTAATTTTTTTATTATGATTTATTAATAATTTGATGTATTAATATTAAAAATAAAAATTTATTTTAATATATTTATAAATAAAAAAATATTTTAAAAAACAAACTCCCCAAGTTTCTCTCAAATGAAATCTTCTTACATGTAATGTAATGCCCACACACTTTTTATCCTTTACAGTGTTAGGCGTGGAAACCAGTCCTGTCAATTATTCTCTGGTTTCTTTTGTCTTCTTGTACAAGATATTTTAGAATTCTAACTCAGTTTAATAAAAATTACGGTGAAGTAACATATAGTAGAAAAATATTAAAAAAATAATGCAGTTTGAAAACAATTTATGTTGGAAATACCGATTGAACACTATTAGTGATTAAATTGGAAATAGTTATTGTTCCAAAAATTATATTCCTCTTGATTTAATTAACAAACATAAAAAGTTAACTTAAATTTTGTTGAAAATTCAATAAATTAAAAAAAATAGATTATCAAGGATATATTAAAACTTTGTTTTTTATATATTTAATATTATTAAAAAAAATTTGATTAAACAATTCTAATTATATTTTGAAAAACCACCATGTTACAATCTATTAAAAATTTTGTTCAAGTTTAATTTATAATTAATTATGATTTTATTTAATATTCTACTAAAATATAGATAGAATCATCTTATCAAAATTCTTTTAACGATGACTAAAATATAGATAGAATCATCTTATCAAGATTTTTTTAACAATATTAAATATATAAAAAGCAAAACTCTAATATGTCTCAAATAACATATTTATTTTATTTTATTTTTATCTCTTCTCACATCACCTTGTCTGTTTTTCCTGAGCCATTCCATCTTTAATTTTATTTCTTAATTGATTGAATCTTTATAAAAAAAATTAATTAATTATTGTTTAGATTAATTAATTCACAAAAGGAGATGTTTTGAAACTTCCACTCAGCAACATTATTTTACATTATTTTAGGTAATGTTATTTTAAATAATATTTGTGTAAAAAAATACATTCTTAAATGCGATCGCTAGCAATTATGTATAAAAAAATAATATCCTAAAACGCGGTTGTATTTTCCATATGTATTATTATCCCAAAACTTTCAGCAGGCTATGCTATTTTATTTTATTTTATAAATAAATCGTTATGTGTGTGTGTTTATAATTTTAATTTTAGCTCTTCGTTTTTAGTACATTAAATGATGAAGCTTTTACCTATGGTTAGATGGATTGGACCAGACTTGGAGCTTGCACTGTCAGGTCTCAAATGAAATGCTCATTTTTATGATTTGTTGCTGAACTAAAAATGTCAAGTCAAATTAGCCAGCGGAGACAGCAGCCCCCACCCACCGTCCCTCCCCCAGGTGATAGCAAAAAGGTTTAACTTAATATATAATTAATTAAAATTAAATTGCCAAAAATTGTTTTGGCACCTCCCATAGGGACAGCCGTTTACTTTTCAAAACCAAAAAAACGTAACGCCAAGCGATGGCAATTTTCAGTAATTCCTTCAATTCCCAAACCTTGTTTAACACTCCCTTCCTCCTTAAATATCGAAACCAAACACGTAACCCAAATCTACACCATCACCACCTCCGTGAATCGAAGGTGAGAGAGCTTCTCTCCCGGCGAGCCTGTCTCTCGTTTAGAATTGACCCAAACACTCCCCACACGAAAAGGCATTTTTGTTTCTTTGTTGGTTCTTGTGATCTGATACAAAAGATGGGATCCTCGGAGCTGATTTTTAGAGGTCATGACGAGACTCAAACAACATCTGATGCTTACTCACCTAAGCCACCGAAGCCATGGCTCGCCGTCACCCGACCCATTCGTTACCTGCTTCTTGAGCAGCGACTCGTCTTTATCCTCGTCGGCATTGCTATTGCCACTCTTTTCTTCACTCTCCTGCCTTCTTCCTCTTCATCATCCCCTTACGAACACGATCCAATTCCAAACACTTTCTCTCACTTCTCTCATGAGTTAACAACCCCTATGCGTTACAAATACTACGAGCCCCTTCGGGTAGGATTCCAATCAGCCAGTTCCGGCGGCAAGATTCCGCTGGGACTCAAGAGTAAAAGTCTCCGAATCGTTGTTACGGGTGGGGCTGGGTTTGTTGGGTCTCACTTAGTGGACCGTCTGATCGCTAGAGGAGATAGCGTGATCGTGGTGGATAATTTTTTCACGGGAAGGAAAGAGAACGTGATGCACCATTTTAAGAACCCGAGATTTGAGTTAATCAGACACGATGTTGTCGAGCCACTGTTGCTAGAAGTGGACCAGATCTACCATCTTGCTTGTCCCGCATCGCCTGTTCATTACAAGCACAACCCGGTCAAGACAATAAAGACTAACGTCGTGGGCACATTGAATATGTTGGGTTTGGCTAAGAGAGTTGGTGCTAGGTTTTTGCTTACCAGCACCAGCGAGGTTTATGGTGATCCTTTACAGCATCCTCAGGTCGAGACGTACTGGGGCAACGTTAATCCCATCGGTGCGTGTTTGCTCTTCTTTTCTTAAATTTAATTAATTGATTGATAGCCGTTGATCGATATTTTGTAAGAGGTGTTGTCGTTATTTATTTTTAAATAGCATTGAAATAAAGCCTGTGGCTAACATGAGCTGCCTAGGTTACAAATAAAAAGACAATGCAGACCTGTTGTCTTTACTTATTTTTACATAAAATTAAAAAGGGTGGCATCGCACGGTGGCGGCCGGTGTGGAAGTGGGGCTCTTGGATCTTAGATCCGTTGTTGGTAGTTTTATATGGTCAGGGGCCTGTGACTGACGAGGCAATTAATCGGACGGTTATTAACTAATTAAAAGATATGTAAATAAGAGAAAAGTAGTGATTAACTCGAGTTTTGAATTTTCCGAGACAGACAGACAGATCTTGACAACTGAGATGTTTGTCGTTTTTTACAGGTGTCAGGAGTTGTTACGATGAAGGAAAGAGAACTGCTGAGACATTGACGATGGACTATCATCGAGGTGCTGATGTAGAGGTGGGTGTAATTTGATAGTGGCCCACCAAGCTTTGTTTGCCAGGTAAATAAATTCAGCTTATCTTACACACAACGCATTTTTGCTTTTTTTTCAGGTTAGGATTGCTAGAATTTTCAATACTTATGGACCTCGAATGTGCATAGATGATGGCCGTGTTGTTAGTAATTTTGTTGCTCAGGTATTTCTCTTATAATGATTTTCTAATCTGATTGCGAGTACTCAAAGACATGAATGTTAATTTTCCATTAAAAAACGATTGTTTTAATAGAAATTAGCGGGTATTGTGCAGGCACTAAGGAAGGAGCCTATGACTGTTTATGGTGATGGGAAACAGACAAGGAGTTTTCAATTTGTTTCTGATTTGGTAAGCCTTTAAAAGCATAGTAATTTTTTAAACTCGGTAGTTGTTGGAGCTTGGATAGATGCTTTACTGCCTTTTCATTTGATTTTGCTACTTTTGTTGCTCAGTTGGCTTGTAAACATTGTATTCTGCGTGCGCATCGCACATTTCAAAGGAAAACGACTTATGCATTGGGTGTGGTTCTTTTGTAACTCAATTCTGCTATCATGGGCACTGGGTCGGTGGCCAGTAATTAATTATGGACTTTTAGCATGTAAATATGTTGCTCAATCTCTCAAATGCTTGCCTGCCTCAAGTTTTCTTCTCAAAGTTTTTAGCAACACATGAAATGAGTCGTATTAAATGCCGAGTGTCCTGGATGGGGTCTAGCACGGGATGGTTTGCATTATTGTTTCCAAAAGGAAGACAAATTCTCAGAAACCATGTAGCAAACAGTTCACATGCTCATTAGAGGTGGGGAAGCCTTAAAAAAACTTTGTGGGGTATTTTGTTTATGAAAGTGAAAGCTTTTATTGATGGATTGAGACTGGGAAATGCATCAGTAGTTTGTGTTTCACCGTCTTATAGAGCATTATTTCTCCATCAAGTTAACATACTCTGATTATTAGTTTGATGATTATTATATGCTAGTTTATGCATGATTAAGCATCTAGCGTGTTCTTTAGTAGCTGCTGCTCAGGATTTACTTAGTCAACCTGTTACATGTGTTGACATAGGTTGAGGGTCTGATGCGCCTTATGGAAGGAGAACACGTAGGGCCTTTCAATCTTGGAAATCCGGGTGAATTCACCATGCTCGAGCTTGCCAAGGTGAGTGTGTTTCTATTCATGATATCCATGTTACTGTTCCAGGTTTCAGGGTCGTAGTCATATGTTCTTCTTTTAAAAAAAAAATGCTGAGAATTTCTCAATGTATGAATTGTTTTTGCGGTCCCTTAGTGTACATATCTTCTAAATTAGTTCCTTGGCAGCAAGTTTTTCAAAAGATTGTTGTTTGGTAATCATGTAAATAATAACTAGCAACTCGTATTTATTCTTTATTGCATTAGATCTGAAAATGGTATTACAGACTCATTTCAGTTATGGCACCGTTGTCCTTCCTAAAAAGAACGAAAAAAGGGGTTGTGCAGTGTTATTAGCCACATGCTTCTGTTTCCAGCAAACTTAGAAGTCCCCATTTGTTTGTTCAGGTGGTCCAGGAAACCATAGACCCAAATGCAAGGATAGAATTCAGGCCTAACACAGAAGATGACCCACACAAGAGAAAACCTGATATTACAAAGGCTAAAGATCTCCTTGGCTGGGAACCTAAGATATCCCTTCGTCAAGGTCTGCCAATGATGGTCTCAGACTTCAGGCAACGCATCTTCGGTGACCACAAGGAAGAAGGTACGACCTCCACTATGTCAGCATCTTAAGTTGGCATATATATGCAGCTCGAGAGACAACAGAATGGTAATTTCTCCAGTGGATAACCAATTTATTTTTTCCCCACCCCCAACAATATAGGTAGTGGTCGCAGCAGCAAGAACAGCAGATGAGCGTTGTTCTCTGAGGAATAGATTTGGAGCTGTTCTTTTGGCCTTTGTTTGAGCCATCTTTGTAATTTCAATGGTACTGTCCCCTTCAAAGAATGTCAGGCGGTGAGCCCTGCAATTAAAATTAAAATTTACCTAGTTTTTGATGCAATTGATATGTCTAGCAGCATTAGAAACAAGCTTACCTCCTGTTTTCTCGTTCACTTGTTGAATGTGTTATTTTTGTTTCATTCGCTGTCCTCCTTGTTGCCAGTAGAAAAGTTAGAAATCACACGGGTCTGCAGATTTTAAAGCTCGCAGGATATTTTCTCTTATTGTCTGACAACTAGCATGTCGATAAACAAGTTGCACTCCTTACTATTATTATTTTGATGATCATAACCCACAGCAAATCTTTATGCCCCTTCGCTCAGATGCATGATCCATCTTTACCGAATCATGTTTTTCAAATGGCCCCCATTCATAACCATAGGATTAGGTCTAGGAGAGACTGGAAATCTTGGTTTATCCTGATCGGCTAAGCATTCGATCATCTGGAACTCACATTGTAAATCACAAAGCAATATTTTAACCTTCTCTGGGTCTCTCTATCTCACTCCAGCTAGGTGGGGTGAGAAGTTCACGAGGACCATAATTGTAAACATTGGATTTTAAATGGTATCGTTTTGGCGCGTAAGCAAAATTGTGCTAAATTAAGATCCGTTAAATTGTGGATTAACTCCTGTAAATTTTGGAGGCATTTTAATCATCCTTGGGAACGATGATTCTATCTTGGTTGAGCATGTCCTTCGGGAAGCAAATCAAGGTGCTGACTTCATGGCTCGGTTGGGGTCGAATGGTGGCTGCTTGCTGCAGATTTGGTACTGTTACCCCCTGCGATTGCTTCTGTTCTTTTAGCTGACAATGAGATTTCTTTCTGGACAAATGACTGGTGGCGGAATGGAGCTTCAAAGCAGATAGGGAAATTTCTTTGACAGAAAGGGAAAGAACAAAGGGCACAACGATTCACCTTTGCCGGTGTTGATAAAAAAAATTTCCGATCAGAAAAAAATAATTTTTTTAAATTTAATATTTTATATAAAAAAATTAAGAAGCAATCTATATAGATATATGTTATAAATAATGAAATTTAAAAGATTATTTAAAAAAAAATTATTCTATGTTGAAAATATATTATTTTATTCTTTTAAATTGAAGTATTTAAACCAAAAATATTTTTTATCCCAAATTGAAAAAATATAATTTTTTTCTTGTGAACATAAAGTATATATATTGAAGAACTTCAAATTCTATATTAAAAAAATAAAATATTCTTCTAGTATTTATTGAAATGAATTAGTAACCAACTGAAAAATATAAAAAAAACTACGAGAAAAAATACATTTGAAAAAAGAATCTTTATCAGGTTTTCTCAGGTTCTAGGATGACCCGACGAGTTCACTGGTTTTATATATATATACACACACACAATCAAATAAAATCGAGAACAATTTGTGTTAATAAATTAAAAAAATAATAAACAATAACTAAAAATAAAACTAGTAAAATCAAGAAACAAATATAAATCAAGATATTTTATCTTGTAAGACAGAGCATTTTTAGCTCATTGTTTGCTTTCTGTAGAATCCAGTGACTAGTGATTGTTGGAAAAACAAGTCCTTGATTTTATTTGACTTAAAGACTTATTTTCAACCTATTTTTAATCTACAAAGCTTAGAAAACTTTATATATAACTTGATAAACCTATCATTGATCTAAAAAATCCAAAAAATTGGCTCAAAAAATTGAAATAAACTTGAAGCCATAAACATTGTCATGGTTAGATCTGTCTCGTCGAATAATAAGAAGGAAAAACATATTTAAGTAAAACTCTTTTTATGAAATAGATCATTAACACCAATTTAAATTATTTTTGTGGTTAGGATCATCATAAACCATCACATTTTTTTTTCATGCTGAATTTAAAAGTTCTCTCTTCTCTGATAAAAAAGAACTGAAAACTAAGTAAAATGGTCATATGTTATCAAAAATGAATTGTTATCTAAATGAATCAATCACCTTTAACCCAGAAAGGATCGAGGATTAAAATAATTTTTTTGTATAGAATTTAAAACTCTATTTATTTTAGTTGTTTTTCTCATTTTGATTTTGTTTTTAAATTCAAATTTTTTATATAAAAAAATATGTAATTAGATTTTAATCATATGCTAAAAAAATTTTAATTGTACAAAAGAATATTCAAGAATCAAATTAAAATTAAAATTAAAATTATATGTATATTATTTCAATCCATGGTTTATATATATACTAGTTAGATGACCCGCACGTTGCTGCGGGTCTATTTTTTTACATAAAAAATATAAAAAAGTTAAATTCTAAAAGTTTTAGGTTTTTTTGCAAAGTTATATCAAAAAGTCTTGAGTTTGACTGCAACGTCTAATCCAAAAGTAATATTTATAATATAATAATAACATTAAACTTTGATAATCCAAGTTTAAATGGGTCTGACTGCAATACCAGATCCAATAGCCTTGGATGTGGGTCCGGCTGCAAAGTCGTATCATAAAAGTATAATAATTAAATAGATTAATTAAAAAACATAGAAAAAAACCAACATGAAGAAAAAAAACTAATGAAGAAAAAATATATGAATTAACTGGGTTAACCCTTCAAACTAAGTTAACCCGTCAAACCTTAGATTCATGTCGTGAAAGTTTGATAACTAAATATAAAAAAAATTGATGGGCTAACCAGAATCAACTGGGCTAACCCGTCAAATCTGGGATCCGTATCATAAAATTTTGATAACTAAATATAAAAAAATTTAACATTAACAAACTAAATTAAACAAAAAAATTAATTAAAAAGGAAAAAAATAAAATAAAAGGCATCAGTCTTTTCATTGTGGACTGCATTGTGCAGACCACAGTTAAAGGCATAGAAACGGTAAAAATACAAAAAGAAAAAAAAAACTAACTGGGTTAAAAGAAAAAAAAAACCTATAGAAAGAAAAAAAACTAATGAAGAAAAAGAAAAAAAATCTAAATTAACTGTGTTAACCCGTCAAACCTGAGATCCGTGTCATGAAAGTCTGATAACTAAATAGAAAGAAATTTAATATCAACAAACTAAATTTTAAAAAAAATAATTAAAAAGGGAAAAAGAAAAAAGAAAAAACCTATATGAAGAAAAAAACTAATGACGAAAAAAAATAATCTGAATTAACGGGGCTAACCCGTCAAACCTGAGATCCGTATCATGAAAGTTTTATAACTAAATAAAAAAATTAACATAAACAAACTAAATTAAAAGAAAAAAATTAATTAAAAAAAAACAAACAAAAGACATTAGCCTTTTCACTGTGGACCGCACTATGCAATCCACAGTCAAAAGTATAAAAACAATAATAAAAAAAAAAAACTAAAGGCATCAGTCGATAACTAATAGAAAAAAATTAATATTAATGAACTAAATTAAAAAAAATATTAATTAAAAAGAAAAAATAAAAGGAAAAAAACCTAGAAGAAGAAAAAAAACTAATGAAGAAAAAGAAAAAAAATCTATATTAATTGGGTCAACTCGTCAAACCTGAGATCCGTATCATAAAAGTTTAATAACTAAATAGAAAAAAATTAATATCAACAAACTAAATTAAAAAAATTAATTAAAAAAAGAAGAAGAAGGTTTCAACCTTTTCATCGTGGACTGCATTATGCAGTCCACAGTGAAAAGGTATAAAAAGTAAAAAAACAACTAAAGTGATCAAATTTTTCACTGTGACTGCATACAATATTAAAAGAAAAAATTAAAAGGAACAAAACTAATGAAGAAAAAGAAAAAAAATCTGAATCAACTGGGTTAACCCGCCAAATCAAGTTAACCTGTCAAATTTGGAATTTATGTCATAAAAATATGATAACTAAATAGAAAAAAGATTTAATATTAATGAACTAAATTAAAAAAAAAGATTAATTGAAAGGAAAAAGCAAAGAGAAAAAAATCCACGGGAAGAAAAAAACTAATGAAAAAAAAAGAAAAAAATCTGAATCAATTGGGTTAACCCGTTAAACCAAGTTTAACTGTCAAATCTGAGATTCGTGTCATAAAAGTCTGATAATTAAATAGAAAAAATTTAATATTAAAAAAGTAAATTAAAAAAATTAATTAAAAAAACACAAAAAAAAAACAAAAAAAGCCTAAAGGCATCAACATCAACTTTTTCACTGTGGATTGCACTGTGCAATCCACGGTACAAGGTTTAAAAAGGAAAAAAAAAGGGAAAAAAACAAAGACATGTACCATGAGTTATTTTTTTGTTATTGCATAAAATATATATATAAAAAGCAAAGATCTAAGAGTATTAGGTTTTTCTGTAAAGAGATACCTAAAAGTCTTGGGTCTAGCTGCAATGCTTGACCCAAGAGTAATATTTATAATATTAATAATAATATTTAACTTATATTACTCAAGTTTAAGTGAGTATGACTGCAACACCAGTTCCAAGAGTCTTGAATGTGGGTCTAACTGCAAAGTCGTGTAATAAAAGTGTAATAATTAAATATATTAATTAAAAAGAGAAAAACTAAGAAATAAAAACCAACATGAAGAAAAAAAACTAATGAAGAAAAAAAAATCTGAATTAACTGGGTTAACCTTTTAAACCAGGTTAACCCGTCAAACCCGGGATTCATGTCATAAAAGTTTGATAACTATATAGAAAAAAATTGACGGGTTAACCTAGAATTAACTGGGTTAACCTTTTAAACCAGGTTAACCCGTCAAACCCGGGATTCGTGTCATAAAAGTTTGATAACTATATAGAAAAAAATTGACGGGTTAACCTAGAATTAACTGGGTTAACCTTTTAAACCAGGTTAACCCGTTAAGCCCGGGATCTATGTCATGAAAGTGTGATAACTAAATAAAAAAGATAACATTAACAAACTAAATTAAATAAAAAAACTTAATAAAAGAAAAAAAATAAACAGGTTAACCTAAAATTAACTGGGTTAACCAGTGAAACCAGGTTAACCCGTCAAATCTGGGATATGTGTCATGAAAGTCTGATAACTAAATAGAAAAAAATTTAATATTAACAAACCAAAGTAAACAAAAGAAATTAATTAAAAAAATAAAAAAAATCTAGGTTAACTTGTCAAATCAAGTTAATCTGTTAAATACGGGATTCATATTATGAAAGTTTAATAATTAAATAAAAATAATTTAACATTAAAAAATTAAATTAAACAAAAAAATATATTAAAAAAGAGAGTAAAAAATCAGCTTAAAAAATAAATAAATAATAGCTCAGTTTAAAAAGATAAAAAAAATAAAAACTGCATAACATTTCACTATAAATTCACATAATAAAATATTAAGTAATTTTAGTATATTTTACAATAAAATAACAACACCGTTAGGTTTAGTTTTTGTTAATAGCCTGAAAAGATGACGTGCTCAAGTCAAAAGAAAGGACAAAGATAAAATCCTCGGGCCTGAAAATCCTGAATCATTTGACTGATAAATTCGCCCTCTGCAGGGGAAAATCCTCGCAAACTACGATGTCCCTCTACCACCCTACATCGAAAAGAGGCACCCCAAAATGTCCACTGATTAGTGATTAGAATTAGAATTAGAATTAGAACTGATCATTCGCTCGCGGATTAATTTTTATAAACATAAAAAAAATATAAGTTGGCATTTATAACATGTTTTTTAATAAAAAAATAAATTTATATAAAGATTAACATTTAGTAAAAATAAAAATAAAAATAATATGGATAATTATTAAAATTATAGTTTAATTAAAAAATTTTAAAATAATATTTTCAAAATATTAAAATAACAACATATTAAATAGACTTGATTTAACCTAATAAATTCATAACTAGAATCATGAAACTATAATAATTTTATAAAATTTAAATTAAAATAATTTATAAAGACTTATCATATTCAACCTTATAATTAAAAAAAAAATTAAGATAAACAATTTAATCTACAAAATAATATTAAAAAATACAAATTAACTTGATAAATTCATCATATTTATAATATAAATTATAAAACCAGAATAATTCAATATAATTATTTATTTTAATAAAATTTAATTAAAAAAAAAAGAAAAGAAATACCCAACAAACAAAGGGTAGGGGTCTGTGCATGGCTCAAAAGAAAAGGCTTGTCCCGCTTGCCAACCCTCTCTCTCTCTTTATTTTTAATATTAGAGGGCGGATTATGCCCATGCCTCTATTCTTTTTAATATTAAAGGGTTGTCTACCTTTTAATTTGTTCTTAAAAAACATTGCAGTTGACTTCCCGCCGGCTGGACTAGAATCCAACAACTAGAGGGTCGCCTGAAAGCCAGAACAGAGGTATTTTCTGCATTAAAATTTATTTTTCAACAATTTCTTAACCTGAAAAACACACATAAAAAAAACACCATAAAGAACTATACAAACCCATTAATATCTTCAAATGACCTATAAATTAAAAAAAATAAAAAATCAATCTATATTTAAAAAACCTTCCAAGTTCAGATTTAATTTCTTAAGTAAGGTGAAGTTTAATGAATACTTTATTTTAACTTTTCATCAAATAAAATCCATTAACATTAATATTAATATTTTAATGAATAAAATAAATAACTTATTCTATCTTTTCAACTAGAATTCGGTGATTTTTTTTTTGAACGAAAAACTAAAAATTTAAGAAGAAAAAATTCAATAACTAAAATGAAAAACAAAATCATTACTTTAATAATACTACGATGAAATCTGAGAGTGTAAACAATATTTCTAGTTATAGTGAAAACATGCACACTTTAGTTTTTCTTCTTTTTTTTTAATGTAATTACGTATATAAACATTTAAAAAGAGGATCATTCCCTTCACTGCAATCAACTGTAGACGACACTCTTCATTCCATAATGTTTTTTTTAGTCATCGAATTATATTTATTTGCTATTTCTTTCTCATAGTTGATTTTGACATCATGTTTTGTGTTGAGATTTGCTTCTTTTTGCATGCTCGTGTATGAAGAGTGTTTATGAGATTTTTTATTTTGAATGAAAGATCAACTTTTTGACATAGAATTTTAATTTATAGTTAAAAAATTGAGAGACCAAGGGCTAAACTAAGCATGAAAAAAACGTAGTCTTTTTCATTCTAACAGCAAAAAAGGCATGGAAAAATTCTATTTAATCCATAGAGTTGTAATTAATGCATATTGGTTCATATGGTTCATAATTTTATTTTTCTCTCCTAAATTTTATTGTTTTTACATTTCAGTCCTTGAATATTAAAAGAAATGAGAGAAAGTTATCGGATAAAAAAAAACAAAAAGGGACTAGTCAATTATATTTAAGTTACAAGAAAGATTTATCTTGTTATGAATAATTTTATATGAGAGAAGAAAGTTTCATTGAGGTGGTTTAGAACCCTAAATTTATCGTCAAAAATAGATAGAGCTTGATAGGATTTTTTTTATTGGATTTAATATTTTATTTTCAGGTGATTATAACATATTTTGAGATACAAAATGGGTTGATTGTGGTTAATAGAATAATTTCTTTTGAATGTTTTCATTTAAAAACAAGTTTTAAAATAGGTTATTTGGGGAAAAAAAAATAGATCTTGATTATTATTTTTTGTTTTATCATAAGAGGTGGTTGAAAAATACACCAGTTGATAACATGTCGGCTCCCAAGCAAGCACATGTCGTCCATGTTATTCAATAAAAAAAGAAAAGAAAAGACAAATGATGTCATCCATCAAATAAAATTAAAAAATTGGACAGGCCAAGGTGTGACATGCTTTTTGATTTTTAGGTACACATGCGGCATACGTGACTTGCCTCTTTTTGACCTTATTTTTATTTTTTTTGGCATACGTGACTTGCCTCTTTTTGACCTTTTTTTTTTTTAAATTTTTTTTAATTTAGAATAAAATTCAGAATAAATAAAATTATTAAAATAATATTTTAAAAATTATAATTGCTTCCATATTAGATCATAGCTTTTTATGGTAATACTAATAATTAATTTGTGAGTTACTATATATTAATTTAATATAAATTTTTTCTTTAAAAATATGCTCACGAACATTCCATGATAATAAAATATAATTTTTTTCTTTTCTAAAATATTTTTTCACATATTAATTATTCTTTATTTTTTATTGAAATCCTCTTTTTAGATCATAGAACGTTCTTATTTAAAAAACGATGCTTCTTATAAGAAACCATATTTTCATCCAAACACAAACCAAATACATGAAAAGATACATGTATACAAATAAAAAGATTTTAATTTAGGAGATAATTGTTTTTCCTCCTTGACTCAAATTATTGATTTATTCTAGAATATTTGTTTCAGTTGCTTTTAATTTTCATTAAAAAAAATACATAGTTATAATGAAAGAAAAGTTTTTCCTAAAAAAATTAATAAATAATAAAAGGAAGACTTGCCAAAAAAAATAAATTTTTTCTTTCAAAATTTAAATCCTTATTTTTCTTTAAAATATCCATTTCACCACGTCTACTAGCATACTGAACCAGGGAAAAGGCAGATAATGCTGATCAAAATCCTGCCTTAATTTAGCAAAGCACGATGCGTGCGTTTCATGCGACCCTTTGAGAGTCAGATTGTGAAACATGCTTATTTACACAGATCATGGTAGTCCAGCAGTGCAGCTACCAAAACAAACCTATCTTAACTCAGGCAAACGCAGTGCATGCCGCCGCTAGGAGAGGCTAGCCTATTGAAACTCAGCCAGCGTAACTAGGTTATAGGAAAGAAGAGGGTGGCAGCGATGGGAGTCTCTGAGAATAGCCCCACCATAAAAAAAGACCTTTTAAGCAAACAAACTTTAAAGTAATTGTACCACAACAAAAATTTAAGCAAGGCATGTTAGCTCCACACGGACCACAAGGTTCTCATCCTCCTAATAGAGATTATATAAAACAGAAAGGCATATTAGTTTGTTTGGGAAAAAGATTAGGGTTATCACATTTCACTTAGGATTCCTCAGGACAATGATAACAGAATCACCACGGAGGAACATTTTGCTGATGAACCTATCTTTATTGACTGGCTGAGCTTTCTTCTTGCCTTTCCCGGTTTTTGGCACCTGCACCAGAAAAGTATGACAATTTAATTGAATATAGAGGTTATTAAAAGGAAAATATAGTATATAACTGAAAAGTCTGACACCTGAACCAGAAAAGTATGAGCATTTAATTGGATATAGCAATTATTAAAAGGAAATCTTAGTGTATATGACTGAAAAGTTGTAGGTACAGAGTCCCAGTGAGTAACCAACCTCAGTCCACATTTCCCTGACATTCTCAAGAACCATGTTGCAATGTCTATCAAATGCCCTCACACGTCCAAGAAGCTTCTTGTTGTTGCGGCAGTTAATTAATACCTGAATGGCCAACAATCTTCAGAATGTAACACAAAAGTCCACACTAACCAAGATTCTAACAGTATATAAGCAAAACCATACCCATTCCATAAACAGCCAGTGATTTCATCAGCCAATATCACATCTGATAACTCCAATTCCAATAAATAGCATCAGTTAATTAGGGAACTTTGATTGGAGCCCAACATGCATGTACAAACTAGTTCTGGTGAAAGAAATCAACAAAATAGTGATTTAAAAGTTCCTTTATGCCTAGAAAACAAGGCAATATTATCACAGCTTGCCATAACAAAGTTTTCTCCAAGCAGCCCCATTAGCTAAAATGCCACGCATCAGAAATATTAACAAAGAACTCAACTTTAACTTTAAAAACAGTAAGCCCTCATGGCTCTATTCTATATCCCTTAATGATATACTAGGTCTGAAAACATTACCTGGGTATTATTCTTTACGCTCATCATCAGAACAGAGAGTGGCCCAGTGCTGAATTCCTCCTCCTCGTTCTTGCTCTATAAACAGTTTCAAGGTGTTACAAGCAACCAAAGAAAGTAATATGATGAAATTAGCGAAGAGGCATCTCACAAATTACTAGCATTTTCCTTGCAGACAATAGTAAATTTGTACATCAACTGATAGTTATAGCTCAATTCTTAATTAAATTGCAAAACAAACATCACATTTAATTTGGCTTCAATTCTTTCTTGAATTAAAAAATATTTAACCACATTTTCCCTTTCAGTAAAGGTCATTGCTCACGTACACAAACAAATAATGGCACTATCCTGTCTTTAGAATCAGGAAGGCAGCATGGTGCAAGAACTTGACTCAAGGGCATGAAAGAAAATCAATCAAGCCAGTAGCCAAATGCAGGACACGTTTTACAATAAAGTTGGGTAGAATAACATGTGGTATCTAATCCAATCTAACTCTCTCTTATAACAAGTTTCAATATTCGACACAAATTTTTTAAAAGTAACATACCGGAGCATCCTCTTCCATTGGCCTACTGCAAAAGATACAAAAGCGGAAAAAGATGTTAGCATATCCATGCCATGTTCATTATAATATGAAAAACAAAATGTATCCATATCAGAAGTTAATTGTCAGTACGACTGCTAACAAATAATAGACAAATCACAGTAGTTACAGCACCTGCTTGCCTTGGAAATTTTCATGCAAAGACATACTAGCATAGCATGGTCTATATGATTACTGAAATTGCAATAACTTGACTGTGCAAGTAAGGAAAAGTATCAACCTAAGTAGGTAAATTTACAAAGCAAGATTTTGGTTACTATGAAAAGAAAAATCACAGATTTCCCAGGAGTCCTGAGGTAACATAATACGCTATAAAAATTCTGTTCAACGCAGAGAATTAATTAAATACAGAAAAGACAAACAACATATATATATATTTGAACCACAACCTTCTTTAATTTCCAGCAAGTATTACAACAGATTAAGATTCAAATGAAATAAAAGAAACAAAGACATCCAGTTATTATTTTATTATGTGAATGATAGTATGAGAGCTTGTAGTTTCAAAATGACGCAAAAATTTGAAGCAAAACTATTACTAAGAACAAGCCATAGTTTGGTAAAATAGTGGAATCAAGTAAATCCATCCATATCTAAAACAAAAGAAAATAAGAAAAAGAAATAGGGTTCAAGGAAGTTACCTCATGCTGAGTTACGAATTTGAATCTCTACAGACAATCAAAAGCTTCTGCAGATAAAGAAAGACAGAATTAGGGGTTTCAGTTTAGTAAATCTTCTCCAGAAGAAAATACGAGCATAATCAAGCAATGAAGCAAGATCAAAAGGAAAGAGAAGGATTGAGTAAACTTACCTGCAGGTAAGAGTTAGGGTTTAGGGCACGAGAGGGAGCGTTTTGGGATTTCCTTCTTTTTCTTTCGACAATCAGATCTCGACGAGTGGGAAACGAGGGGTCCGCTCCGAGACGGTGAAGATTACCGCTACTTGGCGCATGATTACAGTAGTAGGCCCAATGAGCTTGATTCATCGTACACGATTTTAAGATTCCATGGCCCAATTATTATTATATCACCGGAAGATGTGGAAAAAATATTGTTCTCCGTGTCATTGTCCATCCATATAAATCACTTGAATTGTTATAATAATTTGTTTTTTTTTATTATTATTTTCAATTAGATCAGGGATCAAGTTGATGACAAATTAAAGCATATTTATTATTATTATTATGAAGAGCAAGACTCAAATACAAGTGATCAAACTGTAAAAATAGTAAAAAAGGTGGTTCTTGTTCTTTTAAATTTGAGGCAAAACAATCACCTTAATCCTCAAACTTTTCAAATAATAAACTGTCAACCCCTCAAAATTTATGCAATTTAGTTTTGGTCACAAATTTTATTTTTTTAATTTTTTAGTCCTAGACATGAGAAAAAAGAGAAAAAGTGAGCAGATTCCAAGAAATTTTATTTTTTTAATTTTTTAGTCCTAGGCATGAGAAAAGAGAGAAAAAGTGAGCAGATTCCAAGAAGTTTTGTTTCACATCAATTTTAGTCATAAAAAGAGATAATTTGGATGTTAATTAGTTTCTCTCAACAAAAAAAGTTTATTTTAGGAATTATCTTCCCTTGACCTTACCTAAGATGATAGATGTAAGCTTAGAAATAATTTCAGTTCAGGTTGACGTGGGTTTTCATTCTAATTTTTAAATTGTTTAGAGCCATATGAATATGCTTTCTAAGATGTTTAAGGGTTTTTTTTTTTGTCAAAATATAGTTGAGAATGGGGTTTTATTGGTTTAAAACAACATAGCCTTAACTTTTCGGTGATCTCTGATCTCTAGAATCTAAGTAAGGTAGGCTACGCATCGTTTACTATTTTTTTCAAAAAAAAAAAGAATTAAAAAGTGAATGACATATCATCTTTTTCATAAAATAAATAAATAAATAAAAAGGTCCAGTATACTGGCCATCCAAAGCCCCCTCTCCCCTCCCTTTTCTTTTTTTCTTTTTTAATTGGTTTTTCCCTTTATCACAATTGAATCTTTATTAATTTTTTTTTTCTAATTTCAATTGTTTAATATTTTATGGACTATTAATGGGGCAAGGTAATTTTTTCTTGTTTGATTTTATTTATTTATTATGATTACAAACAAACACTTTGATACTTGATTAATTCTTATTTTTATAGGTGTTTATCTTTTATAAAAAAGATATAAAAAAATAAATCTAATTGAGTTCATGACCTTGATTACAAATTTGTTTGATTAAGAAATACACTTCATCATGTTTTGAAATTGTATAAATATTTGTAGATTTATTTAGTTAAATACATGCATAAACTTCTTAATTTGCGATTAAGATTTTTATATGTTAAAATATATACAAAAAATGATGTCGTATTGAAATTTTTTTTATCTAATCTATAATGAAGTACGAACCATATAGCTAGCTAAACACAAAAGAATGTGGTTAAATCACCGTAGCCATACTTATAAAACACTATTTATTGGTGTGTTTTGTTTTCCTTTTTATATATTTTTTTTAATATGATCTTGTATCAACCCATTCTTATTTGTTTATTTTTTTTTTCAATTTAGTCATTCAATATTAGGTTGTTTTGAGAATTGTGCTTTGTAATTTTGTTAAATTTGTTTTTCAATTAGGTTATATACCGTCTAATGGATTTTTTTCTTAATTTTAACCTTCCATATTAGATTTGTTGGAAACAGGGTTTTGTAATTTTTTTTATTTAATTTATATAAATTTATTATGATCTTATGACTGAGGTTGCAAGTTTAACATGTTACCTTTAGTTGAATTGAGTCATTTTTTTCCTTGTTTTATCTAGTTAATTGTTTTTTTATTTCATCATTCAATGTTAAGTTGGTTGAAAATTAGGATTCATATTTTTTACATACTTTCAAGGGGTTATTTTGGTCTCATAACATGACTCATGAGTTTGACATGTTGATCTGGTTTATTTTTCAGGTTTTTTTAATTTCACTATCCAACAACTAAGTTTTCTTAATTTTTTTTAGTTTTTTTTTTAATTTCATCATTCAATATTAGGTTATTTAGGAATCAAGCTTTGTTTTTTTTTTTTTTTTTTTCTAATTTGCTTTAGATGAAGTTATCCTGATCTCATGAATTATTTTTCTCGATTTTAGCTTTTAATATTGGATCTATGTAGCAACTTTCTATGAGATTATTCTAATATTTTAAACTAAGATGAAGGTTTAACAATTTGACTTGGATAATTTTTTTTTCCTTTTTTTTTCATTCTTTAACATTGAATTAATTAGAAATTTTCTTTTATAATTTATTTTAATTTATTTTATATAGGATTATAATAGTCTCATAACACAGGTCATTTATTTTACAAGTTAACATGAGTTAATCTAATATATTATCATATAGAGCATTGGAATTGCTATAATGCTTTGTTTTTTTCATTGCTCAACTTTTGTTTTTCTTTTTCTTTTATAGTCCCAAATTAATTGTTCTTTTAAGAAAATATGTCAAGAAATAACAAGATTCAACGACAGAAGATCAAAGTGTAAAGGATGAAGAAAATGGGTGGCCAGTCCACATTGTAACGAAAAGTTCACTATGATTCTCTTACTTTTTAAATAATAGATTTTTGGCCCTTTTAGTCTCCTATATTCCATTTCTAGTTCACAACTTTATTTTTTTTATTTCTCAATCCTTAATTTGAGAGAGAAAAGAGAGAGCCATCAAATTCTAGCAATAGAGCAAAAAAGTTTTGATTGACATTAATTTCGACAATCAAATCAATGTTTTTTTGTGCCAATTAAGTTCTATTTGATGGGAGGGAGTTCCATTAAGATATTTTTTCCCTTTGAAATTGCAAAATAAATAAAATAAAATAAAATGCAAGAAATAAAGTTTAGGAGAGGATTTTGCTTTCAGTTTGGATTTATGTTTATGTACAAGTGTTAGGGGTTTTTTTTTTACATTATAAGGATGTGTTTTAGTTGTTTTGGTATGAAAATTGGTTCAAATTCACTTTTTTTGGGTTAAAAAGCACCTTGTTTAATTTTCTAGTCACCATTTTAGCAATTAGAAACTAAGAAGGTAAATGACGAGTCATCTACTTTTATTTTTTTCAAACAACTTAGGGGGGGTCGACATATTGACTGCTTTATTTTCTAATAAAAAAAATTTAAGGGCTTACTCGTGCGAGCTTATCCTTGCATTCCTACACACGTGCCTTTTTAAAATGGATCAAGTGCGTGCGCGTGATTTTTTTGCTTTTTTTTAGTTGATACCTTTTTTATATGTATATTTTTAGTTTGGATTAAATTTTTTAGTTGATACCCTCTCTCTAATTTCTCAAATTGTTTATTTGGCCTTTTTTAAACAGTAGTTACTTTTTAATTATTTAATATATGTATTTAATATTTTGAAGAGATTATTCTAATTTATAAATATTTTTTTATGTTCTATATAAATAAACTTTATTTTCATGATGTATTTATAAAAATAAAAATTACTTCTTGATAAGAAAATGTGACCTCTAAGTTAAAAAAAGAAGAAGCATGTACATTAAAAAAGAAAAGTTGGGGTTAAATATCATACTTATTTATCTTTTAATTTTTTGAAAATGATTATATTTTTATTTTAGAATTTGGTTGGCATTACCACCTCTCTCTCTTTTTTATTAGTTCATATATTTTAAAATTTATTTAATTTAGTGTAAAACAATGTCTTTATGTTTCTTAATTAAAAAATCATAATAAAGTGAAACACACTTGCAACATTATCTTATTTTTGTATTATATTAAAAATTAACTTATGATCTTACACATGGTGTTGCATTAACAACTTTTTTTTTTGTATTTATTAATGCATATGATTCTTGTTTTATTTTATTATATGTAAGGATGGACTTTTCAATTCATAATTTTATTATTTTTCTTGAGGTCAAAAAACATGTTAATAACACCTATATATTTATTTTTTATGTTAGAAAGAAAAATTTATTCCACTCACGATGAAGTGCTGGTCGACTGACTAGTTTCATGCTATTTTTCATTAATTTACATAACATTTTTTCTTTTCATTTTTGAATGTTCGATTGTTTTGGGTCAACTCTTAGGATTTTACATCATCTATTTAAATCCATTAGGCTTTGAATTTTATGTGTTAACCTAATGTTAAATCATATAACTAGTAAAAAAGAGTTGATAATTTATTCAATATTAAAGTTAAATTATGAAAAAAATAAAAAATAACTCACTTACTATAGGTTCTATTGTAAACATTGCAGTTGAGTGTTAATTTTTTGTTTTTTATTACTATTTTGTCTTTGCACTTGATGCTTGTATCTCATTATGTGTCACAATATAGTTTTATTGCATGCTTGAGGTTTTGGAGAGTTTACTAAATGAATTAATCATTAATTTTATGAAAAATAATATTATTTTGTTGGCCAAAGAAAATTAAAAGAACAAGAATTAAAATTAAAAAACAAATAGCATTTCATTTTTATTGTTTATGAGGCATAAAAAAGTACAATTTGGTCTATGATCCTTTAGATTTTTACATTATTTGGTCCTTATTATTTGAGAATTTTAAGTTTCAATCCTAGACTTTTATTTTATTTCCATTTCGATTTATATGTGTTGAAGAAAAATGGGGAAACTCATTAGAAAAAGAGAAAAGGAAAAAAGAAAATGTTTTGTTGTTTATATTCTAGCAGCAAAAAATTTGATCTTAATATTAAGGACTCATTTTAGAGAGTGAATAGGTGTGTGACATAATTGTTATACAATTCACAATCAAGATTGAGATCTAATCATGAAAAGTTAAAAAAGATTTGATAAAAGTGTAACATAATAGAAACATGCCTCAAAGCACCAATACTAGTGGAATGAAGTTGAATGATGTCACAAAGATATTAAATTTTTATTAAATCAGATTCAGTTATTCAAAAACCACATATACAAGAATCTCTCT